ACTTACCGAACTTTATCTAATACTGTGTATAATACAAAAGCCTTTGTTGTCAATGACAGCTTCAAGACACCTCCTGTATGGAGAAACTAGTGGCATGCATTGCTCAGGTGTGATTTTGGCCCATTCTTCCACACAAACAGTCTTCAAATCTTGAAGGTTTCGTGGACCTCTTCTATGAACTCTGATCTTTAGTTCTTTCCATAGATTTTCTGTTGGATTCAGGTCAGGTGATTGGCTGGGCCATTCCAGCAGCTTTAGTTTCTTTCTCTGAAACCAACTGAGAGTTTCCTTGRCTTTGTGTTTGGGCTCATTGTCTTGCTGAAATGTCCAGCCACGTTTCATCTTCATCATCCTGGTAGATGGAAGCAGATTTTTATCAAGAATGTCTCTGTACATTTTTCCACTCATCTTTCCTTCAGTTTGAAGTTTGCCAGTACCATATGCTGAAAAACAGCCCACACCATGATGTTTCCACCTCCAAACTTCACTGTTGGTATGGTGTTTTTGGGCTGATGTGCAGTGCCATTTGACCTCCAAACATGATGTGTATTCTGGCATCCAAACAGTTCAATGTTGGTCTCATCTGACCAGACTATRTTCTCCCAGTATTACACAGGCTTGTTTAAATGTTGTGCAGCAAACTTTAAAGGAGCTTCAACGTGCTGTTTCTTCAGCAGTGGAGTCTTGCGTGGTGAGCGTGCATACAGGCCATGGTGGTTCAGTGCATTACTTATTGTTTTCTTTGAAACAAACGTACCTGCTAATTCCAGGTCTTTCTGAAGCTCTCCACAAGTGGTCCTTGGCTCTTGGACAACTCTTCTGATAATTCTTTTCACTCCTCTGTCAGAAATCTTGTGAGGAGCACCTGGTCGTGGTCGGTTTATGGTGAAATAATGTTCTTTCCACTTCTGAATTATGGCCCCAACAGTGCTCACTGGAACCTTCAGAAGTTTAGACATTCTTCTGTAACCGATGCCATCATTATGCTTTGCAACAATAAGGTTGTGAAGGTCTTGAGAGAGCTCTTTACTTTTACCCATCATCAGATGTTCTTGTGTGATACCTGGCCATCATTTAGGACTGAACCAGCTGATATTAACTTGCACTGACAAGGGGCAGGCTTGCTTTCTAATTACTGAGAGAGTTCAGCTGGTGTCTTGGCTTTCCATGCCTTTTTACACCTTTCTTCATGTGTTCAATACTTTTTCCCTGTGCCATTCCACATTATTACAAATAACTTCATTTCTGGACATTTATGGTTTGATTTCTTTGTATGTCTGGATCACTTGGGTTGTTACCGACATCTGGTGAAATTTTCATGTCATTAGCACCTCTAGTAATATATTTACTGAGAAAAATGTTGACGTGTTCAATACTTATTTTACCCGCTGTAATGTGCAGGTACACAAAATCTCTGTGGCATTCAAGATTAAAAACAAAAATGTAATACATTTTCTCTCTATTTTTTGAACTATTATCATTCTCTACAACATAAGTTAGTGCCACAATGCTAATATTTCCTAATCAATGAACAAAAGTTTCAAAAACCCCTTTTTTCATCTTACATAATGAGCAATTTAAAGTACCTGTGACATCAAATTTTTGTAATAAATATGAATGCATTTTTTGAAAGATAACATTGATAACATATTGCAAATTAAATTTCATACGGCTAAAATGAACAGTTGTTGAGATATTTGCATGTGAAATAACAGGAAGTGATGTCAAAGGGGAATGTTTAGCAAAGCATTGCTATAATGGCTAATGACACAGTCTGTAGAAAAGAATCTAATGTTTCTTTAGATTATTCTGAGTCACTATGAAAAAGAGTTGAGAGATGTCAAAGAATATTGTATTAGTGTAAAAATTTTTCTTTCTTAGAGTTCCCCTTTAATGTCATTTCCTGCTTCACTTTTAACTGAGCCAACATACCAGATTAGCAACAAAATGGGTACAAAAGTGTGTACTATGCAAACTTTTTTGAATATAGAGATGTTTTCTTTGTTTTTTTTTTTTTTTTTGTATTTAAAGATTAAACATGTTCTTTCAATCTTTTTTGCGCATTTTGAAGTATCGCATTAGAAAATGTGGATGGAAACTGCTAAATTTGCAAAAACTTTCTCAGTTTCACAAAAAAAAAAGTCTTTACACTGACTTGAGGTGCTTTTTGGATTTTCAAAAACAGGGTTAATGCGCAAAAGGTAAGATGGAAACACATTTGCCGAATAAGTTCTGACATAGCAAACATGTACCTCGATCAGCTCTTCCCATTTTACAATAATTGTACCAGCTGCGGCTGCAGCTGGACCCTCCTCCCGCTGTCTGTGTCTTCCCGTATATTGCCATACGTGAGGAGAATTGCATTTCTTTATCCATGTCTGCAGACAGTATGTAACATTGCCAGTACAAGTTGATATGACAGAACAATTACAACTTTCCCGATAGTAGCAACACGTTTCTGATAACTTCAATTCAATTCAAAATACTTTATTGATCCCAAAGGAAAATTACATTTACTATTTTACCTACATTTATTACCTGCATTTCTTCTCTCCATTGTCCTGAGATGTGTAGTCCCTGCAAGTTTGTGATTTTACTTCCTGTTTACTACAACCATGCGTAACGTCAACATCTGACTTAATTACACTTAGCCTGGTTGATTCGCTCCAAGCCACTGGATGGAAACAAGTCTGATACGCTTTTCTTTTTTTGCGACATTTTAAAAGTTCGCTCAAAATTTGCATTAAAAGTGGAGACGGCTACAGACATGATGAACATCTGGAAATTTCCATTTGATGTAATTTCTACATTAAGGTTAATTATCTACTTTTTTATAATTAATAATGCATTTTTTTGGTAGAGTACATTATCTAAAAGGAAAGCTTATGTAAAACCAAAGATTTTTAGCCTGAAATGACAGTGTAAATCTTCACGTTTAACATGTTTGTTTAGCAAAACACAACCATACCCAAGAATTTCTCCTCCAACATTGAAATAGTCAGAAATTTAAAGGTAGTTTCCCACAGGACTGCGATTGGTGACTTGAATATTAAAGACCTGCTTGTCTGTGTTAGAGCAAAAATAACGATAAGAGTTATTTTGACACCTCGAAGAGTTGCTCTTTTTTTCCCCTCTGAGCATCTAATGAACAAATTAGGAATGAAATTGAGCTCATTTGAAGCCAAATTGAACCACGGTTGCCTGAAGGCCTCCGGAGAGTCTCAGCCCTTCCAGCAGACCAGTTTAGGCATCACTTCTTCATGGTCTGAAGTCAATTGCAGCAATTTTCCTCGCTCACTTCTCCCTTTGGACGTGGAGATCAGTTCAGCTTTACAGACATAAATATTTAATAACAGTGTCCTGAAACATTTTGAAATAAAATTGGACTAATCATCAAAAAGCATCTGTTCTACTTTTATCATCCATTTGCAGACAGACTGGAAGGCTTCAAATCTGTGTGGGTGTGTGGTTAAAGGAAAAAACAAAGAAACGAAAGAAAATAAGCCACTGAAATAATAAAAAAATAGGCAAAGTTTTCCTTAAGGAATGCATGTCACCTGCCAACTTTTATGCCAGAGATCTGAACTAAAATCCTTCAATGCTGATAAGGGACAGGGTTTTAGCTATATTGTTTCAATCGTAATTGTTTTGTATTAATATTGTGAGATATTGCAGGATTTGTTAGTGCTTACAGTAGTCTATGTTAAGGACAAAACTCAACTATTTAGCTCAAAGTGTCCACCAATTCAACTACGTTAGTCATTTTTGTGTTAGCTAAAGCTGAGTTGCAGAAGCAGCCGTGTTAAATTTGATTGTCTCCAAAAGTTATAGCTATGAATACATCCAATGATTACTTCCTGAGAGTTTTACTTAAAGATGTCTACAGGGCTAACACCAAGAAATACTGCTGCTAATTTAGGCAAAAATAAAGCACATGACCAGTTCTTGGAGTATGTGTCGTAAATTATTCTCAGCTACTACCACACTGAATTTTAGTTCGGTGTCTGTCAAACTGGTTGATCTAAAGGCATTTTGTCTTGGCTAATGTCAGTTACGTGGCAGCCATCTTGAATCTGGTCAGCTTCAAAAGTTAATAAGTTGTATGTGTGCATCCAATAGTTTCTGAGAGCTTCATCACAATCTGCCCTGTGGTTCATAAGATTTTTTTGCTGGCAGACAGATTTGACTCCAAGATCTGTTAGTGCTCAGAGTCTGTATTGGGGAGGATTCTCAACTACTCAAATTTACCCCATCTGAAGCAGTGACAGTTATGGTCATTTTACTGTTAATTTTTTTACTTTGTAAATAAACTGTTAATTTTACTTTACACGGACTTTAATGGTGCCTAGGTGTGGTGGCCATCTTTTAAAGAGTCGACTCAATGTCCATCTGCTGTAGATGTGCAGCCAATGAGTATTTTTTGGAGTTGTACAATAATATCCATTCTCTCACTTAGAATATATTTTTTAGCCAAAACGACGCACACAGAAACATGGGAATAAATATTATTGACTTTTGTCTTTGGTGGCCAGTGATAATAAACCCAAAGTATGGAAGAGGATTATGGCC